ATTTCCCCTCTTTGTCTTAAGTACAGACAATCAACAAAATGATAAATCACAGCCTTATTTGGCAATTTGGGGGGTAAACACATCCATTATGGATGACTTCAAGCTACTAATAAAATATCATGAGCCTGCAATTGGGAAGAGATGTGGAAGTGTCAGGCACTATTATATAGGATATTTAAAACATACTGCGTTTCACAACCTGCTTAGAGAATTTCTGTAAAACCAGAATGAACTCCCACTAGCAGGTTCGAAGTCACAAAAAATATCTGAATGAGGAGGTTCTGAATTTGCAATGTTGAGGCCAGTTCCCATGATAAATTTGGCCTATTGAGAAATAGGTGAAAATGAGAATTTGAAGCCAAAAGCATTATGTCAAAAGGCCCAAGAATATAAAATATATTGTCGATGGATATTCTAAAAGTCAGGGGCTAAAAACCTAATTGTAACCAGCATGCTCTGCTTCATCAGCCTAAAGCTTAAACACAATCCTAACTTTTTTACTGTCTAAATACCGACTGTCATTCATATCCTAAATAAAATTTCCTAGTTCTATTCTGTCCCTGGTAATCGCTACCTGTCCTTACTGGGTGAAAGTACTTCAGCTCTCTCTAGGTCTCATGCTGTCCCGTGATTTCTGTCAACTTCTGCTTCCTATTCAATCTGAGGTGAAGGGATGAACTAGCGCTGTATTTCTATTTTTAAGCACAGCTAATACACACTTGGGCCCAAGGTCACAGCTCTCTGACACGTGTGTGATTGGCCATTTCCCAGATGAAAACTACTAGGTGGACACAATTTTACTTCCCGAACACTTAGGCAGTGGGCCTCAGGTGTGAGCCTGACTTCATCAGGCCTCTTAGGATAGACTTAACTAGGCTCCTAGTGGCTTTTTCTGCGTCCATAACCACGTGTAAAAAGATTAGTGCCTTTTCCTCAGCCCACAGATAGGCATCATTATGAGAAAACGCTCAAAGGTCTCTTCAGGAACAGAGCTCTGCTCAAGTTGACATTTTGTCCTGATTGTACTCAGACACAACTGGGAGCTTCTCAGGTTCTCCCTCCCTTTCTCACTATTGCTTCCCTCCCTCTGTCCATATGTCTGTTATTCTGTCTCTCTCTCACAGATATTTGTAAATATTGAAAAGAAAAATATTTTTCCTACCTTGTCTGTTTTTCTATTACATCTCTGCTTTGAGATACTGTCTCCTACTGCATCAATAAAACACACAGTATTCTCTTTGGGATAGCAGCATCATTATTAACACTTACATTGTATCCTTTTAAGAAACTGCTGTGTGAGAACAATCCAGTGTTTGACTTGACTATTCCTTATGTGATTCCAAATTATCATGAAATGGACAGTACTTAATTCACTCTGATCTGGCTTTAGTTTTGCATGTATCGAGAGTGACCTTAAAACAACAATAGGGAGCCACACCTGGAGGTTGTCAGGAGCTACTCGAAGTTCTGTGCCTGGGAGTTGCTCAGGTCTCCACATGCCGTACCAGAGATCAAACCAGGGAGTCCAACATGCAAATCATGTGCTAAGCCTATTGAGCTTGCCCTCTGGCGAGCAGAGCTGGCTGGAGAGTAACTTCTTAAGAATGAAGAAGTGGTTAAATCAGTCCTCTAACTTGAAACATTTCCCTCATTTAAAATTGCTATTCAATGTCAATCTCAAATCTTCAACACAGCCTCCAAAGGAAGGATAGGCGCTCTCATTGCCGTGGCCTCATCAGTGATTTATTCTCCTCTGAATCCTCCTCCCATTCTCATCTCTAGGTACATATGAGCTTTAGTCACTCTGAAGCTAATTAGTTCCTTCAAATTCCCTAACTTTCTTATGCATGCCCTTTCTCCTCTGGCTAGATAGAGTATGTTCTGTTTTTTCCTTCTATCATCTTTTATTCCTTCCATAAACTCCATTTTCTAACCCATAAGATGCCCAACTTAAGTCTGGTAGATATTTTCCAATGTTCTCCCAGAGCATCGCAGATACCCACAGCACTGGAGTATGAAGCAGGCTAGGGACTCAATGCCCAAGTGAGCAAAGATGACTGCTTAAGCAAACTAATTCCTACATAGGTGCAAGAGCCATTTTCTAAATGTGGCAATACAAAGCCTGCAGCTGAGCAAAATGAGGAATTGGGTAATAGAAATTTACTTAAAAGACAGATTCTGTAAATTATTAATACACACATTTTTGAACTCTATAATATATGTTGATTCTGGTGGCTTGTGATGTTAATCATCACACCATGTAGTAGTTTGACATTTACTGTTGAATTCATAACTACCTTGGCACTGTAAAATGTAGTTCAGTTACAGAGAAGCCAGTGCATTTATAGAAATATAAAAGTAAAGAATATTGGATTTTATGGGGCTGTAGAGATTGCAGCAGGTAGGGTGCTTGCTTTGTCTGTGGCAGTCTCAGGTTTGGTCCTTAGCACTGTGTACGGTCTCCTGAATACAACCAGGAGTGATCCCTGAGCACAGAGATAGCAGTAAGCCGTAAACACAGTCAGGTTGACCCCAAACCCTCAAATACCCACACTGATAAAATACTGGATTTTTAATTGTTTTGTATGATTAGAGGAAACTTTGGAGTGAGTGGTTGATTACCTATTGGACTCAATATGTTTGCAAATATTCAGGGAGCTGGAGAGATAGTACAGCAGGTAGGACATTTTTCTTGCATGTTGTCGACCCCGATTCAATCTTCAGCACCTTATAAGGTCCTCTAAGCCCTACCATGAGTGATCCCAGAGTGCAGAGCCAGAAGTAAGCCCTGAGCACCTCCAGGTGTGACTCTCAAAACAAACCAAATATCAAACAAGTAAATATTCCCCGAGGGGGTTATGTTTAATATTATTTATTTATTAAAATATTAATGAAATATTTTGTGCTAAAAATTATTAACAAAGGACAGTACTTGAAGCTTCATTTCTTAAAAGCTTGTAGCCATTTTTGAGTCAATAATCAAGGCTATTGTATACAGAATCAAAGTCCACGAGGAATCCTGACTGGAAGATCATGCAACATAAACACAGATAAACCAAAAGGTGATGGCCCTATGAAGTCATATTAAAAATACTAGAAAATAATTTATTCATGAGTGATTTTTATACAATGGACATAATTAAGATAATGCTATTACTTTCAACCAGTAAAACTTCTGCTAGGTTTCTTGGATAATAGGACTTTTATCTAGTATACTTTGTGGGGCCATAGAGTCTCTCTAAGCCTTTCTATGCATTTGTATGTAGAATCACTTATGTGAAATTTATTCACTACTAACTCATAGCTTAGCTCTTAAAGATACAGGCTTTTTTCATTGTAGTTTATGAAAGAGGGTTACAGTGGGTTTAAGTTTAGAGTATTCATGTGCCAAGATATAGCAAACCACATCGCTGAAGTACCTATGACCCTCCACCCCTGTCCCTATGTCAGCTCTGATCAGTTCTTCCATCTTCCAGCTCCACATCATCTGTGGATTGATGGTTATGGCTTTAATGCATACTAGCACCTCATCTAACAACCACAAACATGCCCTATAGTCTCCCCTTATTCATGTGCATTATTTCCAGTCCACTTCATCATTCTCGGCACACCCCTCCCCAGCACCAAATCTGGTAGTCTTCCTGAAAATTTTCCTCTACTCTTTCAGGTCACAGAGCTCTCAAGTTCCTATATAATTTTCCTAGGATTTCATCAAACTGAAAAAACTTATTTCAGTTGCCAATAAACAGGTTTCTAGATCCTAATTTACAGTTCTTCATAGAACCTTTCCTTGAAAGTCCCCTTGGTGACTCGAAGCTGCACTAGGCCCTTTAAGGTTCCTACCATTTTCTGTCTCTAGTTTGAAGCAGCAATATAGTAAAACTAGAATGTTCAGGAATATTTCCATTCTCTACATCAGACTGAGGCACGGGAAAAAATAAGTGTTTGTAAAGTGGCATAACCTATCCAGAAATAAACCTTACTTTCTGCAGGCATTCAATTCATCTCCACAATTTTTTGAAGTCAGAGACACTGGACACTCATGGTAACTTGTAGTTATCCTATTTGCATTCATCATTATGGGTTTCTTCTAAGAAGCATATCACATATCAAAAGGAGCTAATTACCAGAGAGTATCATTAATTTTACATCTAACAAAAATCTCAAATATTTATTCTCATGAATTGTTTAGTAATTTGCATTACTATCTTAGCAAGTGTTGGTTTTCTTTAGTTACAAAATTATTCCTTATGTAGTAAAAATATTTAATAATACTTGGGATTATGGGCTGGAGCGATAGCACAGTGGGTAGGGAGTTTGCCTTGCACGCAGCAGACCCGGGTTTGATTCCTACATCCCTCTCAGAAAGCCCAGAAAGCTGCCGAGAGTATCCTGCCTGCACGGCAAAGCCTGGCAAGCTACCTGTGACATATTTGATATGCCAAAAGCAGTAACAAGTCTCACAAGGAGACGTTACTGGTGCCCACTCAAGCAAATCTATGAACAACAGGAGGACAGTGCTACAGTGCTACAATACTGGGAAATATATCCTAGGCTTATAGTTCCTTTACATTCCCACTAAAAGAATTCTTTCTTTTTCTGTTACCTACCTTCAGGGTTGAGAAACTCCTACCTGCCTATATCACTGTATCATTATCAACGTTACCCTATAATATCATGCTTTAAGAAAAGCAAATAACCTTTTTAATATCTTTTCCAATAAATCATAACCTCAATCTAATCATGTGAAAGCATCAGTCGAAGCTAAATGCAAGAACCTTCTATAAAATAACTGACCAGTCTAATTCAAAATCTTAGAAGTAACTATTATTCCATTAAACAAACTGTCAGAAACATACAATATAAATTTGACAAAGATTGAAAACATATTATTTTAGAAAGATGTTTCATTAAATCAATGAAGTGATCAAATGCCAGTTTCCCTGATATAAGAGTATACAAACAATTTTATAATACATTTCCATCACTTCTCTCCACAGGCGACTCGGCTAATCTAACCTGCAGAGCATTCTTTGGGTACAGTGGAGATGTCAGCCCTTTAATTTACTGGATGAAAGGAGAAAAGTTTATCGAAGATCTGGATGAAACTCGAGTCTGGGAAAGTGATATTAGGTAAAATTATGTTTTTCTTTTTAACTGGTAGAGTCAAGATTTATATGCTCTATTAGCAAATAAAATGTGAGCTAAAAGAGAAGATGGGCTTTCTTGGTCTCAATGTTATAATAAAAAATCCCACAATATTTAATGACAAAGAGGTAAACACTGTTAAGAGAGATACTATGGAAATACAAAACATGAACATTATTTTCAAAGAAGTTAAGAGAAATATAAAAGGTTTTCACTTAAGGAACATATTTAGTGTGAGACAAAAAAAACCAAACTATGGAAAATGTGATTTTGTGGTTTTTGTTTATAAGAATTCTTCTTTTGAGAAAAAATATCAACAAATTACTAGGAATCAACGAACAAAATGTCTGTCATTTCTTTTTAGATGTTTTCACTTATTTGAGTTATTATCTACAAAACACTTGACAGGAATGATTAAAGGACACACAAAATGTTTTTATCATCTGTTTTAGTTTGACTTTAAGATCTAAATATTTATATAATGGGAACGATAGAGGACAACTACTAAAAATGTCGACAATTTTAAGGGCTTAATTCTCAAACTTCTTTGTGAAAAATAATCAAATTTACTTAAAGAATTAAGGTATTCTCTTATCACTAAAATCTAGCTTCAGCCTACTTAATTTTACTCATGAAAATGAAGATAGTAACAATAAATCATAAGTGAATCAAAATGCTTATATTTGTAAATACTCTCCCATCCAAAGGTTGCATCTTTTTATATATGTATGTATGTATCTATCTATCTATCTATCGATCTATCTATGCATATATATTCTTTATGTATTTGCATCCAGCAAGGCAGAGCCTGGCAAGCTCCCCATGGTATATTTGATATGCCAAAAACAGTAACAATAACAGGTCTCATTCCCTTGACCCTGAAAGAGCCTCCAATCATTGGGAAAGATGAGTAAGGAGAGGCTGCTAAAATCTCAGGGCTGGGACGAATAGAGACATTACTGGCGCCCGCTCGAGTAAATCGATGAACAATGGTATGAGAGTGAAACAGTGATATATTTGCATATATGATATATTTTCCCTGTGTGGCAATAAAGACACAAGAACATTACATTCCCATTGAGCTCCGAAATGGAAAGCTGGGTAATTCCCCAACACAAACTAAAATGTTCATTTACCATTATCCATATTTAAAACTTTAATTTTATCTTAAGATACTATAGTTTTAGACAACAAACTTAACTTTCTCCCTCTATCTGTTTGTGGATGCTTAAGGAAGTTTCTATAAAAAGTTCTTTTTTAATCAATCCTCCATTAGAAAGTATTCTACAATGATAAGCCCCCCAAAAGGTTGGAGGTTGGATATGAAAACATTGACACTTCTCATATATTCTGAATAATTTCTAAAATGGCTGACAGAGAGGTTAGTGAGCATTTACAATTCATTCTAAATATCAGAATTACACTTTATGAGGACACTTATTCTACCGATTTATAGTTTCCTATTTCTTTAAAATAGGCAAATGATTTACATCATTAAAAAAATAAGGTTGGAGATTTCTACTGAAATGTCAAAATAATCTCAAAGATTTTCTTTTTTTAATTAACCTGAAATATAATTAGTCCTCCATCCTAAGACATTATTATAATTTTTATCTCACCATTATATATTTCTTCTTAAAGGAAAAGCAATTTATAAACTTTTCTTCAAGGTCACTCTCACCTCTTTATTATGACAGTGTGATTGTCCTGCTAAGAGAGATAATTAACTGCAACTTCATTAGCATCTACAAAGACAAGCTTCCTCATTAGAAGTGAAGAAGGAAAGGGCATGATATAATTTAATTAAGATAGCATCAATCCATAGCCAAATTTGAAACACAGATGCTGTAGGTATTTTTCACCTCAGATTTAGATTCATCAGGTTTTTTCATTCTTTTTCATGTACATGTATGTTTATGTGGGATTTGGGGGTTTTATTTTGTTTTATATTTTAGGATTCTTAAGGATCATCTTGGGGAGCAGGAAGTTTCCATCTCATTAATTGTAGACTCTGTAGAAGAAGGCGACTTGGGAAATTACTCCTGTTATGTTGAAAATGGAAATGGACGTCGACATGCCAGTGTTCTCCTTCACAAACGGGGTGAGTGTGACCTTTCAAACATGACTGGCCAATGGAACAGAATGGGTGGGAAATGAATCAGAAGAAAATTCAAATCTGGCCCTATACACAAAAGTACTTAAAATAAAATAATCACATTAGCATGAAGACCATCAGCAAGAGAGTGCAGGGGTCACCAGATCAGGGTACTCAAGTTTGAATTCCTACCTCTGCTTTAATGAGACCACCTACATAAATTAATCACTGTACTGAACTTCCCTCCACTTCAGTTTCCTAATATATGACATGGGGAAAATGATAGTATCAACCTTTCGTTGTTTATTAACGATGAAAGGATACAAGCTATATGAAGAGCTTAACACAGAGCAGAGCTTGCACATGGAACGTATTTCATTAAATGGTATTCATGATGTTAGAAACAGAGAAACCCATTTAAAATAACCAGAATATTTTAATTCAAAGATTATATTCCTTGCTGAAAGGTTGTTTCATTAGTAGATGAACCATCAATGACAGATTCCCCATTGCAGCACTTCTGACACATTTTTCAGCCTTGAATAACTTCCACATGTGTAATATCCTCCCGTGAGTAATAATAATGCATTAAAGAAATATTATTCAGTTATTATCCATTAATAACAATTCAAGTAACATAGGCTATGGTTCAGTGCAACCATCTGTTATACTAAATCCAATTCCTCAGCAACTCCAACATCTTATCCATAGGGTTAAATATGTTTATAAATATCCATTATGTTGTTTCAAGTTAGAGATCATTATGAACCTTGAGACTTGCTTTTGAGTTGGTGAAAGTTTTCATATATCTATTACTTGGGAATGATGTATTTTTTTCTTCAAATAATGTTGTGAAAATTTACTATTGTTTGGGAAAGGAACACTTGATCCCTTTGCAAATATGTGAAGATTTTAATTTCATAGCTTGTGTTTAATCCTTATCTCTTTGAGCTTAAGAAAAGAGAAAATTGAAAATTGTTTTCTCTCCCACAACATGTTGTTGGCTGTTAGATTCCCCATGAATGTTGTTACTGAAAGCTAGTCAAATAAAAACTCATGCTAAGATGACTTCAATATTAAGATGTTTGATTTTTGTGAGACGTGAACAGAGAGGAAAGGAAAGCTGCACACCTAGCAGTGTGATGGGCTCTTCTGTCACTTACTGTATATGTTCAGTACACGAAGGGATTTAAACTAGAAATATTGATACATATAAAATAACCAGCATAGTTTCTCAGGGTGGGAAACAGCTTCAAAATTATGAAACCAAACTGACTATGTAATATCTTACCAAGATATCCATCATTAATATTCCCTCTCAAGAAAGTCTTTTCTATCTTTGTAAAAACTATTAGAAAGCATTTCATTATTTACAGTGCCTACTTCATGCCAAGAGGAATGGGAGGTAGAGAAAAAATAAAGATTATTAAGCGTGAATACCGAGAGAAGAATGGTATAAGATATGAACACATGTACTTTAATACAGTCTGTAAACATGAACAAATTTCTATGTTGTGCCCATACTATATCAGATACTTATCATGTGCCAAAGTATTCTAGACTTGGGGCTATAACAATAGTAAAGTAAGTAGGGCATTTTCCTTGCACAGGGCCAACTCATGTTCAATCCCTCACACCCCATATGGACCCCTGAGCCCACCAGGAAGGATTCCCCCAGCATAGAGCCAGGAGTAAGTTCTGAACACTACCGTATGTTTCCCCAAGCAAACAAAGAACAACCAAAAATAACAAAAAAAAACCCCAAAGTATTCTAGATTCATAAATGTGCTTTAAGATGGATTGTATTGGAGCTGGATAGATAGCACACCAGGTAAGTCACTTGTCTTATATGCAGCAAACCAGGTTCAATCCCTGGCACTGTATATTGTTCCCTGAGCAGTGCCAGGAGTGATCTCTGAACAGAGAACCAGGAGTAAGCCCTGAGAAAATCCAGGTGTTGCCCACAATAAACAGAAACTTGACAATAAAATAAGGCTGTTAGAAAAGCACACGTGTTCAAAAATCAGTTAACATAATTCACCTACGTAACAAACTAAAAGAAAAAAAATCACCTCAATAGATGCAAAACCCCCAAATACGTTGACTTTTTTTTAAATATTTGGAAGAGGGAAGTGCTGCAATCTGCATTTTACCTTAAAAAGATGTTCCAGCAATTCAACAACATCCAGCATTAATTTCTGGTTTGTAAAAGACTTCTAGCAAACTTGGACTGGAAGGGCCCTTCATTATTTTGATAAAGGCATTGGCATTTGACAGTATATTTCATAATTAAAGTGTTTATTTTCTTGGAAACCATTTCTATTTCCCTGTCTTTTTCTTCCTCCAAGTTCTAAACATTCTATTTCTTTTCCCATAGACGGTCCTTCAAAAACAGGTAACAGTCACCCTGATCTTTCCGAATTATTATTTCCCTAATCTTAATAAGTAGTTCCTTTTCTTCTGTTTTTCTCTATGTGGACAAAATATTTCACTATTATGGTTACCCTCTTGTGTTTTTGGTGGGAGGACGGTAGTTTAGGGGCCATATCAGGCAATAATTATGAGTTACGCCTGGCTCTGCACTCAGGAATCACTCAGGAATCACCTTGGCAGGGCTCAATGGATCTAACTCAGGTTGGCTGCGTGCATGGCAATCACTCTCTGACCCCCTCTCCCACATGTTTTAATTAGTGTAAATATTCGTCAAGTAGAAAGACGTAGAGAGAAGATAAAGGGCACATATACAAATCTTTTAACTTAGACAATATGTACTGCTCTTTAGGATGATGTAGGATTGACAGTAATGGTAATAAAGAGAGGAAGAAAAATGAATTCTAATCTAAGGGGTTAAAACTATCAAAACTCACTTCTTGCAGACTAGAACAAGTAAGGAAGGGTCAAAAACCTCTCAAGCTATTTTCAGCATGGGTAGCCTAAGGTTACAAAATTTTCCCAGACTACTAAAACAAATCACTGAAGAATCAAGGGTACTTGAAAAAAACTTTCCTAAAACTGTTTCCCTAAATATGAAAAAAATGTGACTAATACTTAAATCTCCCACAATAGTTTTTCAAATGTGGAGTTTTACCGCCAGTACCTTCTTCTTAGCAAAATAAAAACACTAAGAGACCAAAAGTACTCCAAAAGACCTTTAATAGATGGAATACAATGGATGCAATCCCCTGCTATTAAGGCACTCCTTCTTTTGTTTCCTGATCATCTTTTCACCACTGTTACTTCTCACTTCTGGGGAAAAGAAAGACCTTTCTTTAACATTTGGCATAATTGCAAGTCGACCAGTCCTTCAAGAATAGGAAGGTTAGGGCTCAGTACCTGTAACATGACAGTTTGGGGTTTTTGTCAGTCCCCCAAAGAATCAAACTGCTGTCACATTAGCAATTCTGTAATTTCATGTGAGTTGCTATATTACTCAGAAGACAAAAGCTCAGAGAAGGAACCGGAAGCTGTCACTAACAATTATATTTTTGCCATTGAATCATAAATCCCTTAACTTATTTTACAGACCTTCATGGTTTTTCTTTTTAAAACCTCCCTAGATAAATCTTTAGAAGTATTTGATGAATATGGGTTTCATGAGCCACAAATTGTTCATTCTCCTGACGGATAAACTTGCTAGGAGATATCTTTACCAAAGTCACTGAAGAGTTTTTTCTCTTTCACTGATCATTATTGTTGACATCATCAAAATGATGTCAGAGCCCGCGATCAGTGAATGAAATCCTTAAGACATTGCTTATATGTATATCATGGATCTTCAATGCCAAGAGACTATTACAATAAATAGTTCAGCTTGGATTGGGCTAGATTCTGGATGACCTATTGTCTTTCAAAATATCTTAATCCCACAAAATCTGGTTGAAAATTTAATGGGAAACTTGATGACATAAAAATCTTAAGAATTAAAATTAAGAATATTTAATATTTGGTTTGAAGAGAGAATAAATCAGGTAAAGCAGTTGGCTTGCATGTGGCAGACCGGGGTTTGAACCCCGGCACCACCTATGGTTTTCTAAGCACCACCCGACTGGTCTTTTACCACAGAGCAAGGGATAAGCCCTAAGCACAGCCATGTGTGTCCCCAAAATCCAAAACAAAATAAATCAATAAAGAATAATCAAAGTTGTTTATTCTTGAAGCCACAGAGGGAAGGTACTTGGACAGTTAAGATCTTGGAAAAACTGCAATATATTTCATATATTTCATATTTCATAAACTATACAGATAATGAGATTGTGCAGTGAGAGAGGAAAAGTGAAGGAAAGAGGCGTGGGGCCATATTATTCTGTATTTGCACTGTTCTTTATCCCTCACTCTAGTTCTTGACCTGACAAGTTCCAAATTCAGATTCTTGATTTTAAAAGAACCTAGACACATTTTTGATGGGGTAGGGAGGTCCACACCTTCCAGTGCTCAAGAACTACTCCTGGTTCTAGATTCGGGGTTACTTCTGGCAGTGTTCAGAGCACCATGTGGTGCGGGGAAATTGAACTCAGTCTCCAGCATGCAAAGTCTGCATCCAGCGCCTGGAGCCAACTCTCCAGCCCACAGTTCGCAGACGCATTGACAACTGTTATTTCTTGTTTACCTTATTGTGATAGCACAGCGGTAGGGCATTTGCCTTGCATGCAGCCAACATGGCCGACCCGAGTTCGATTCCTCCGCCCCTCTCGGAGAGCCCGGAAAGCTACCGAGAGTATTCAATATGCCAGACACAGTAACAACAAAGTCTCCAATGGAGACGTTACTGGGCCCGCTCGAGCAAAATCGATGATCAACGGGAGGGCCTTTACTTTTTACTTTACTTTACCTTATTGCGATAGCACAGCGGGTAGGGCGTTCGCCTTACAAGCGGCCAACATGGCCAACCTGAGTTCGATTCCTCCACCCCTCTCGGAGAGCCCGGCAAGCTACCGAGAGTATTTGATATGCCAAACACAGTAACAACAAAGTCTCCAATGGAGACGTTACTGGGCCCGCTCGAGCAA